GTACATCATGAGTCTCATAACATGAGAAAACCAAGTTTTTTGACAGATATACAAAAGATATCACTCACTCTCAAACAATCTATTTACAAAGATAGAACTCATTCTCTATTTTCAGGAGCTGTAGAACCATTGAGGATTAGTATCAATATATCAACTTTGATCTCTTTAACTAGTTGATCAGCTTCCTTTGATTTCTGAACAAATATTCTAATTTTTTTTCAATCCATATCTTGTATAATGAAGCATTGAAGGCCATCCTCTTAATCTTTTGCTTAAACCTCGTGCCTCTCAAACAGGTAGAATACCATTCCAAAATACAGTTCCAATTACAGGAACGCCATCTGGATTGGAGCCATTCCATGATCTTGTTCCATACATTTGTAGAGAACTCACATTCAAAAAAGAGATGATCACGGCTCTCCATTGCAGCACCATTGCATAGACAACAGGAATTTGTAGGCAAAATCCCCATCATAGACAACCCGTCTTGCATTAACAATCTCTTTTGAATAGCAAGCCAGCTTATGATAGAATGCTTGGGGTAATTCAATCTCTCCCACATAATATTATACCATGAAACTTTGAGAGAAGTTGGAGATAATGCCCAATACAAGGCTGATGATTTAACTTTAGAATTCCTGTAGCAAGATCCAATAATATGCTTCAGATTATCAACTCCTCCAGTTAAAGTCAAGGCTTTATCCCTGATTTTCAACATTTGTTTCCAGAGCCAGGAATCATTTGCTTTAGCATTGACAGTCCAGACATCTCTGTGTTTTAAATAGGTATCGTGAATCCACTTGATCCATAGGAGCTCTTTATTCACATGGATATACCAGATGTTCTTCAAGGCAGCAGCAACGTTCCAGAGTTTAGCAGAGAAAATGCCTAATCCACCATATTTTTTCCCCTGGCAGATTTTCTCTCATGCCACTAGTGAGGGTTTATGCTTATGATCAGTTCTCCCCCACAGAAATTCTCTGTTCATTTCATCAATTCTATGAAGAACTTTCACTAGCAAGATGTAGCTGGATGTCCAAAAAATTTGGACACCTAAAATCATACTTTTTATAACATGTATTCTTCCTGCATAAGAGAGGTTCCTGGAAGACCATTTTTGAAATTGACTGTTAATCTTGTTAAGTAGAGGATGACATTCAATATAGGAAAGCCTTTTGCATATGAGGGGGACTCCAAGGTATCTGATAGGTAGAGTGCCTTCAGTGAAGCCCAACAAGTCATTTATAGAAGACTTAACTCTTTCATTCACACCACCAAAGAAAATATGACACTTATTAGGATTTTCTTCAAGCCCAGAAGATGCACTAAAATATTGTATACATTGATAGAGTTTTTGAACTGATATGATATCTCCCTTGCTAAAAAGTAGTAGATATCTTGAGTCTTTTACATTTAGGATGGAATTTGAATTGATTGTCATTCTTCAATAAATCCAAGCATCTCGAGAGATAATCCATACCCAAGATAAAGAGATATGGGGATAGAGGGTCTCCCTGTCTCAAACCCCTTTTACCTTTGAAGAATTCATAGAGTGGTCCATTTAAAGAAATGGAATAAGAAGGGGAAGATATACATGTCATAATCCAACCCACCACCTTATTTGGGAAGCCCAGGCCAATAAGCAGATCTCTCAAAAATTTCCAGCTAATAGTGTCAAATACTTTTTTAATATCAATACTAAGCATTACTCTATGGTGTTTTCGTCGAAAGTCACCTTAGTCATTGATTTCATTAAACTTTAAGCGTTACAAATGAATTCAAATAACAAAAGAACAAAAGATTACAACTTTCTTGAAAATAAACGCAAGATCCGTTTATCGGCTCTTGCTTGCGTGGGTTCTTCGCCGGTGCCGGGGTTAATCCGTGGACGACCTCGAATCAGATCCGGTTGCAGAAAATTGGGCAGAGCTTCTACCTCACCAAGGGGGTATTTGCTTGAAGTCCTGGAATCGACAAAGCGATTTCAGGGCTCTTCTCGAGATTAAGACAAAGCCTAATCTCAAGGAACGGACGTACGAGCTTCAGATCCTTCGAACGGCTTCTCCTTTGCTCCGAAGTTCACCGGGATCTCGCTGTCCTTTGCTGAAATTTCGTGCTCCTTCACTCTCCAATCCAGCAGCACCTCGTCCTCTTGATAAAATTCCAGATCCAGAAAATGGAGGCCTTTGGTTCATATTTATAGGCCTCAAAATGCGGTTATTTGGATAAGAACAAGGGATTTGGCTCTATCTTTAGTCAACAGCAGCCTAACCACGTTTGAGGATGATCTCAAGTCAGTTAAGAACCCCTGGAACCGATAAACCCTGCAAAAAACCAATTAAAAAACCGTCAAAACGTGTTTGGGACATTAGACTGCGCGGCAGAACAATCTGACCCGCGCTCGCGCGGGTCGGAATAATCCGACCCGCGCTTGCGCGGGTCGGAAATATCCGACCCGCGCATGCGCGGGTCGGAATCATCCGACCCGCGCTTGCGCGGGTCGGATTGATCCGTCCCGCGCTTGCGCGGGTCGGATCATTCCGTCCTGCGCTTAGCGCGGGTTCGCCGACGTTCTCCCTTTTTTTTGGTTTCTTTCTTCCGGGACTTGTTCTTGTTGCGTATTCGTTTGATTTGTTGACTTGTATGCTTCGCCGCGAGACCGATCGTCGAACGCGCGTTGGTTAACATACGCGTGCTGATCGATGCGCGCGGGCTGATTGACGTGTGTGCGTTGACCGGCGCGCACGAGTTGGTTTGACGTACGCGCGTTGACCGATGCGCACGAGATGATTTGACGTACGCGCGCTGACCGGCGCGCACGAGTTGGTTTGACGTGCACGTGTTCGACTGACGCGCACGCGTTGGTTGACATGCGCGCGTTGACCGATGCACACGAGATGATTTGACGTACGCGCGCTGACCGATGCGCACGAGATGATTTGACGTACGCGCGCTGACCGGCGCGCACGAGTTGGTTTGACGTGCACGTGTTCGACTGACGCGCACGCGTTGGTTGACATGCGCGCGTTGACCGGCGCGCACGAGTTGATTGACGTGCGCGCGTTGACCGGCAGTTGATTGACGTGCACGCGTTTGACCGACGCGCACGAGTTGGTTTGACGAATCTTCTTGACTCGCCCATTCATTGCTTCGAGTTTCGTGCGGGCTCTCGTAGATAATTTTAGACGCCTACAATAATCTTAACAATTAAACCGTAACCTTAACAATTAAACCGTAACTGTAATAATTAAACCCGTAACCTTAACAATTAAACCTGTAACCTTAACAATTAAACCCGTAACCTTAACAATTAAACCTGTAACCTTAATAATTAAACCCGTAACCTTAATAATTAAACCCGTAACCTTAACAACAAATCCATAACCTACACAACAAACTCATAATCTTAACAACAAACCCGTAACCTTAACAACCAACCCGTAACCTTAACAATCAATACATAACATTTATAACCAACCATTATCCTTAACAACGAATATTCTAAAAATACGAAAAAAAATAAAAAACGAAAATGATAAAATAATAATCATCTTCAATCATTTCAATATCATCAAAGTAACATCATGATAGAGAGAGAGAGAGATGATCCATAACCTTAACAATTGACCCGTAACATTAACAATTAACTCGTAACCTTAACAATTAACATGTAACTTTAACAATCTCCCAATACAAACAACAAAAATAATAAAAAATAAAAATAATAATATAATCCTCATCAATCATTTCAACTATCATCTCAGTACATCATGATAAAGAGAGAGAAAACGAAAATAATAAAATAATCCTCATCATATTTTAATAAAACAAAGAAAGAGAGAGAGAAGGGTATTATGGTCCACATGTTTTAATCTCTTGGGTTTTGTGTTTTGGGGGCTCAGAGAACAGAATCTTTATTTTTGGGGGCAAAACACCCGTTGACAAAGTCTTGGGGGTGGGAAACACGTTTTATTGGCTTTTAGGGGCTAGAAGCATTTTTTTCCTTATATCAAACATATCATCTTTATCCAATAACATGTTATATATCATTATGAATAAGATAAATTATTTAATTACCAATTCAAAGAAGATAGAATAATTAAAATAGATTAGGATAACAATGTAATATTAAAAAAAAGGTAAGGGTAATATTGACAATAAAAAGATTTTCTCGAACTCGTACTTTTAAATGAAGTATGATATGATATGATATGATTTTAAGGAAAAAACACAACACCATGATGTTTTTTTATTAAAACACAAAAAGAAAAACACCCTAGTATCCAAACGAAAAGCTAATATAATATAGTTTATGAAACGATTAGCTACATTATAACTTTAACACGCTTCCTTTCCCGGTCCCCATCTTCTCAATCTCCTTTTCAGTGGTCCTTTATGTCGTACCACAGCCTTTTCATTAAAAGGTTTTTTCCGATATTAGGCCCCCAAATCGTCCTTGTTTTCAAATTTTCTCCTGAAATTTTCACAATCCTCCAAATCAATATCCGTATCCATATATACGGATATGGTTGCTCAAATTTATAATTGATATGATATAGATATCCATACGTGTATCTAAAATATCCAACTATAAGTCGATTTTACAACTGCAATTATTTAAATCCTTTGATTAATAATTTTGAGACTAATTTTGATGATCAAGAGATGCAATCTTCACATTTTAGATAAAACAAACATATTAATGAACTCTCTTGCATTACGTGAACTATATTTTTTTCCTATATTATTTCGTTTTCTCATATATGTTCTATATTCACATGTATATCTGTATCCATATCCAATTTTAGCTTATCTATTATGAATTTTGTTTATCGAAGTATATTCATATCCGTATTCGTATTCGCGAATAGCAATCAGATACGCATATGATAAGTATCATATACAAACGGCATATGATAAGTATCATGTACAAACCGCATATTTGCTCCCCTGCTTGCAACCGCTTCATTATTTTGGGAGGGACGATAGTGATTAAGAAAAAGAATATAGAATATAATGACCATTGTATCTTTCAACTCCCTTGTACATAAAATTAACCCCCAAAAAAACTCAAAAGCAACCTGAAATCAATCTCAAAACAAAACAACACACCATACACATCAATTGCAACCAACCACATCAATATCCACCTCCACTCAGCATGCTCCGCCGTCGTCTCCGGCTCATCACACATCGGCGACGTGAAGAAAAACGGGCCAACAGTGTACTTCACCATTCCAGGATAAACGTGAGACGGCCGGTAAAGCTTGACGCCTGACCGGCCGTTACCAAAGTCGGTCATGACGTTGCAGGCCTGGTCGGGGGAGGACACAAGCCTCACGGCGCATCTCTCTGGGTTTACCTCTTTCCCGTTGACGTACTTGCTTACAAGCACATCGAAATCTCCTTGCTCGTCGGTGTCGTCGCTCACGTGATATACTACCCGCTTTCTTGCATCCATGCACGTCACGGCCACCTTACTGCCTGCCCAAGGATCGTTCGAACATTTATCAACTCAAGTGTAGAAAGTAACGCAAATTAAAAAACGAATTACAAAAGCTTTTATATTGAGGAGCGCTATTGTAATTTTAGAAAATACGTCTTTTTTTTCACTCAAAAGTGTAAAGAAGGAAAACAGCTAGACTCAATTATTGATTTAAGCAAAGATTTTCTTTTTCTTTTTCTTTTTTTTTAATAAGGGAAAAGCAAAGAAAATTAAGTATATATATATATATATATACCTTTAATAGGTTCTGCTCCGTGTGTCCATTGGTTCCAACCTTGGGTGCAATCTTGGCACATTACTTTTCCTCCAACGTGTATGAACTTGGGCTCCTCGCCCTTCCATCCTTCAGCGCTTCGGAGAGAACCCAAGCTCATTATAATCACAATGTAGGCAACAGCTATCGCTACAAACGCCTGAGCTCCAGCCATCTCTCTTTCTTTTTTTCTGTCTCGGACTTCAAATTAATGATTACGCACGTACATCATTAGGTCAAAGTACTGACGTGTTTATAGACGTAGGTGGTTCAGGACGTGCAGCCCAATTTGATGATGATCAAGCAGCTATGATGTATGCTCAACGTGCGCTCCATTCTTGTTACCTACAAGCCTACAGCTGCAAGTCTCGGTCAAATGCACTCCTACCTTTTGAATCTTGTGATTTGCTATCAGTTTTTTTAAGGGTGTCTTTTTCTAGAAACCACCTTAAAACAGAGTAGTTATACCGAAACCATCTTTCATTTTAAGTTTATACAAAAATCACATTTATTTTAGTTTATTTATAAACCGTCTTTAAAGTGGATTTTTATTGCAACCAATCACCTCCTAGTCAAATTTTTTTTTACTAAAAACCCAAAAATTACCTATAAAGTCGCATTCAAATCACATGACTCATTTGTTTAGTATTTATGTCTTTTTAGGATACATCTCACGTACCTTGAACTTAAAAATTTTAAGTTTATTTTTTTATATTTAAGTGAAAATTTGTCTGCATGATGATTCGTTGCAACAAAAAGCTATTTTAAAAGCGAAGTAAATTATCCTATTTTTATGGCGGGTTTTTAGAAAAAAAAACAACTCTTTTTTTAATTGATATGTAGAGGTACGTCGGTGCTGGGGATTATTGCATATTACATATTCTCTCTTTTAAATCAGGCCTCATCGTTGAAAAATATTATACGCAAAACAAATTTTACCGTTACATAAAAAAGATATCCCAGTTTCCCGACCACGGGTCTCAAACTGCAGATATCATGCCCTCTAGCAAGTACTCATACGCTCTAGTTAACACTCATTTCTGCTTGTGCTCATTGACATCCAGTTCCCAGGACAGGATCTTTTCAAATGATTTTTGCGTGGACAAACTTTTAAATAAGACCCTTTTTGAAATATACTTATTATTTTATGACGTGGCTGAAACTAGATTGAATTTAATAAAAATTTCTACAAAAGAGTTTAGAGCTCTATAGACAGAATTCACAATCCTATAATGTTAGCGATGATGAGATTAGTACTCAAGACCATTTAAGTAATTAAAGACAAACTCTCTTGGAGTTAACCACTTAGCCAACTACACGGGATTATATATCCCATGTAGTTTGTATGCTATAAACTCCACGGTATTTACAATCATGTGGAGTTTAGTATGAGTTTTATACTCCAGTGATTAAGGGTTCCATAAAGATAAATTTTTTTTTACTAAACTTTATGGATTCTCAATCCCGTAGTGTACACGGAACATATTTCACGATTTCGACCTAGTTTCAATCTCCTCCGTTGTTGATGTGGTTAAAACTAAATTGAAATTGCTAAATAAATTGCAACTGGGTTGATTTAGGTGATTAAGTTTCTAAAAGAATCTACTTTAAAATTTTGTCCTTTTTGCACGGGAAAATTGATGGTATTTACGAGTTTGATGCAAAGTGCTATAATGTCCTTTAGTTACGCCCTTGCCTCTGGTGCATTTTTCAATGGAACCTTGAAAGTTGACAGGACCATAATACAATGTCTTACCACTATGACTTAGCTTTGATAAATTGAACCAATATAAGGTTCCATTATAAAAGTATCAACAACTGTATTTGGCTCTAATAGATTGTTCAGTTCTCAACCGAATACAGTATTCTTTTTCCGATAACAGTACAATACTGTAGGCTGTATTGCAGAAACTATGATGTATAATAATCCCGTCCTAAGGGTAATTAAAGACAGTTCCATATTATTGAATCGTGTTGTTTTAGAATACAATATATCCACCATGTACAGCTGCTTGAGGCCATTCTCAGCATTACATTGCGTAGCTACACCGATACTGAACGTGTATCAATGATGTATATGTTACCTTAACTGCTTCCCTTTCGGCTGTTCAGCGCCATCACCTCCTAAATGTTTCAGTTATGCCTTACTGAGTAAAACAATGCATAAATAAGGTCCAGGAAACTGAAAAAACTATCAGACACCAATTTATCTTCATAATATGCTATTCAAAACTCTACGGACTCACCTTTTTACTCGTTATAGGCATCCAAAAATTGTCTAATTTTTTCCCTCTCTTCCTTTGAGAGATCAACTTCTCCTTCACCAGTCAATCGCTCTCGCAGTTCTTTAGTCTCATCCTCAGAATTGTTGCCATGTACCTGAAAGAGAATGTTAAAAACGGTTAAGACTGTCCAGAAGAACAAACATCGGCTTCAGGAGAAGAAGACTCTTACCTGGACATAGTTGTTTACATGACCATCGTTGTTTGGGCTTGTGATCAACTCATCTTTGTTGCATGTCCATTCACCATCGATTATATACTTGTACTCATAGCGCCCCTCCTATGAGGGGAAAAAAATTCATTATCAAGTATAAAACTATAAGCTTATCCTGGGAAGGAAACGTTGGTTGCCAGCTTCCAGCAAATTAAGTTTGAAGCAAACACTCAAACTGCAATGTATTTATTTGACAAAAACCAATGTTGATTAATCTACATTTATAATATCTGACGTGGCCATTATTTGAGAAAAGAAGAGGACATGAGTAAACATAACATTGTTCTGCATAAAGGTAGACTTACAGGTAAGTCTCTCTCAAGAATCCACGATCTCTTTTCTTCATCAAATATAAGAGGAATTCTCTGCAACAACATTCAGAACCTATGATGAGCAAATAATCATTTAATAATAAATATAAATGATTTATTAATGTAAAGATAGCAATGTTAGAAAATGATGAGATAATTGAAATTCCATCAAGAGAGTCAAGAGGAGCTGCATATCAAGAGGAAAAGTGAGCAAGAAAGAGTACATCTTAACACAAGATACTCCATAATGGTATCCAATAGCATTCTCAACTTGTATCTAATACCAAAGTGCAAACATCAGTTTACTCATCAGAGAACAGCTATGTGATAGATAGATTACAGGGAAAAATAAGTGCACGTCAGCTTCGCAGAAGCAGCATCTCTTTGTAAGTAAGCTCTACTGTAAACCTGCGTAATGAGCAGGGGAACAATGACCCTGATATGTATCACCTGAAGCCAAACGCTGGTGAGGATTATTCTACGTAACAAGTTCATGCATATCATGTACATGGCCTATGCCAACAATTATAAGCTTCCACACAACCATAAAGTATAGTGCATCACTGTGTACACTGAGATCACATAAAGTATCACTAAAACTTCGTACTTTCTCCAATGTGGAGAGCAAAACTGTAAGGTTGTTATTTGCAGTGCAGTGAGGAGACACAAAGGATTTAATTAAGAACAGCAATCTTGGTTCTATATTAGTAAGACATGTTGTGCAGTTACTAATCACCAACTCTTAAAAAAACCATATATGTGATTCAGACCAGGTTTGGTAGGCCTAGAGGTTTAATGCAAACCTGGCTTAAAAACAGCTGTCACACCAATCAGAGCATATTATGTTGAGGCTTAGAGCATTTGCAAAATATCAATGATAGTTTAAGTCTTTTGACCCTGTTAAAGTTTGGAGAAAAAAGAGATTATTGGAGAGTTATCCCCTCACTCTATATTTTATTTATAGAGATTGATTAGTTACAAATTAGTCTCACAAGCAATGTGGGACTAAACTAATACTCTCTTCTTCTAACACTCCCCCTCAAGCTGGAGCATATATCATGCATGCCCAGCTTGTCACAAATAAAGTCAACCCGTGTTTGACCAAGTGGTTTTGTAAGAATGTCTGCCAACTGATTTACTGTCGATACATGTTTTGTCGTGATGATTTTATCCTCAAGCTTCTTGCGGACTACTTGACAGCCGACGTCAATGTGCTTGGTTCTTTCATGAAACACGGGATTCTTAACAATATGAATTATTGTTTTATTGTCGCCATATAGATCCATAGGACATTCTGGAGGGAGACCAATTTCTGTCAATAGGTCTCTGATCCAAACCATATCTAGTGTCACATTTGCCATAGCTCTGTATTCTGATTCTGCACTGGATCGAGATACAACACTTTGCTTCTTACTTTTTCATGACACTAGATTTCCTCCAAGAAAGACACAATATCCAGTAGTTGATCTCCTATCAAAAGGACATCCAGCCCAATCTGCATCAGAAAAGTCTGCAACTCTGTTGTATCCTTGATCTGAGTAGAGAATTCCTCGTCCTGGAACCTTCTTCAAGTACCTCAAAATTCTCATTACTGCATCCAAGTGAGGAGTTGTTGGTGCAGACAAGAACTGACTCACCAATCTTCTATACTGTCTAATATCTTCAAGAAGCTCCCCCTGATCTGGTAGTAGTTTTGAGTTCACATCCATTGGAGAATCACTGTTTCTGCATCCTAACATCCCAGTTTCTGAAAGCATATTCATGACGTACTTTCTTTGTGACAGAAAAATACCATTCGTTGACTTTACGACTTTAATGCTTAGGAAGTATTTTAGAAAACCAAGATCTTTAGTTTGGAAATGTGTCTGTAAATGCTTCTTCAGGCTGTCAATACCAGAAGCATCATCCCCAGTAATTATAATGTCATCCACATAGATAACAAGCAGAATTCGTTTCTCATTCTGAAATCACCAGAAGACAGAGTGATCTTTCTGTGCACGACAGAGCCCAAATTCCTGAATAACCGATACAAAACTCCAAACTAGGCTCTCGGAGATTGCTTCAGACCATAAAATAATTTCTTCAACCTACACACCTTCGTATTCTCCCCCTGAGCAACAAAACCTGGTGGTTACTTCAAGTAAACCTCCTCATCTAGAATACCATTAAGAAATGCATTCTTGATGTCCAACTGATAAAGTGGCCAGTAATTTATCGTTGCTAATGAGATAAAAATCTGAACAGATGTCATTTTTATCACTGGAGAGAAGGTATCTAAGTAATCTAAGCCATACACCTGCGAATAGCCTTTAGTAACCAATCGGACTTTCAGGCGTGTCAAAGTTCCATCAGAATTCAATTTGACAATGTATACTCACTTGCAGCTGATGGGCCTCTTTCCTGGTGGAAGTGAGACCAAATCCCAAGTCTCATTTTGTTGCAAGGACCTCATTTCGTCTTGCATCGCTTGTTCCAACCTGGAATAGACAAGGTTTTTGACACATTCTTGGGAATCAAATATGAGTCGAAGGAAATAACAAAAGATCGAAAGGTGGAGGAGAGGCGATCATAAGAGACAAAGTTAGAAATAAGATGTTGAGTAGAAGTTTGTGTCCCTTTTCGAAGTGCAATAGGAAGGTTTTACGCAGAAGGGGGTAAATTTACACTTATTGATTCTGGTTCTTCTGTCGGAGGACGTGGTGTTGAGGCCGACGTTGGCTTAGAAGCAGGAGCGGAGCGACGATGATAAACTTGAATTGGATCGTTAAACTGAGTGGAATCTTTGCTAGTAGCACAAATAATGTTGTCAGTGGATGCACCACCACCGTTAACCAATGACTCTTATAGGATTAAATAGTCATACTCATCCAATGATAATGGAGTTTGAGAACTAAAATAATCAGGTTTGTCTTTAAAGAATGTTACATCAGCAGATAACACAAGACAATTGAGTGATAGACAAAAACACTTGTAACATTTATGTTTTCAGTAGTAGCCAAGAAAAATACTTTTAATAAACCGAGAGTCAAACTTTTATTTGTTTGGACTATGATTATGAACAAAGCACAAAGAGCCAAAAATCTTTGGAGAAAACGAAAAGAGATCATCGTTAGAGTATAGAACTTTAAAAGGAATTTTATCTTGCAGAACAGATGAGGGCATTCGATTAATCAAGTAACATGTTGTTAGGATAGCTTCCCCCCAAAACTCTTTGGGAACGTGACGATGAAATAGCAAGGTTCGAGCAATATCAAGATTCAAGGAGATGTTTATTCTTTCGTTCAGCAACTTCATTTTGTTGAGGAGTGTAAACACAAGATTGATGGAGAATTCCATGTTGTTCAAGGAAACTAGTGAAGCTGTCATCCAAATATTCCTTTGCATTATCAGATCGAAAATTTTTTATCGAAGTCTTGAATAGATTAACTATTTCAGAATAAAAGAGTTTAAATATAGAAAAGACTTCAGACCTAGACTTGAGAAGATAAATCCAAGTAACACGAGAGTAATAATCCACAAAACTGACAAAGTACTGAAATCCCAATTTAGAAGTTATTGGGCATAGCCCCCAGACATCAGAATGAACAAGATCAAATGACTTTGCAGTCCTCTTATTGACTCGATTAGGATAAGATATACGATGATGTTTGCCAAGTTGACACGGCTCACACTCTAAAGAGGAAAGAGATTTGAACTAGGGATTTAGAAGCTTGAGAAGAGAAAGAGAGGGATGCCCTAGCTGACAATGGTATTGTAGAGCTGATGAGTTTCCAATACAAGCTAAATGTTTGGCGCCCAAATCAAGTTTATAATGGTCGTTCTGCTCATACAATGTCCCAATCGTTTTCCTGGTGACCTGATCCTGAAAGACACAATATGTGGGGAAGAATGTCACTATACAATTTAATAATTTAGTAATCTTACTAATAGATAAAAGGTTATAGGAAAAACTAGGAAGATAGAATATGGAGAAAAGGGGGAGACTAGGTGTAGAATTAGTGTTGCCGACATCCTGAACAGGTATACGTGAACCATCAGGTAATATAACTGAATAGGAGAGAAAAAGAACAGGATACCTTGATTCCTAGTCATATGATCAGTGGCACCCGTATCTATAATCCAAGTATGAGACTAAGACAATATAAGTAAAGATAAAAAGATACCTGCACTTTTGAGAGTAGTGGATAAAGAGGATGATGATGGTTGTAAACTTTGGTACTGCTGGAATAATTAAAATTGAAAAATTGACGATGCAGCTCTGCATCCTGAAAGACTGAATGTAGTTGATTTTTACTATCAGATGAGGTGAAGTAGTCTTGAGCGGCCATGTAAGCATCATTGGCCTTCTTCTTTTTCAATTCAGGACAATTATATTTGAGATATCCTGATTAGTGACAGTAGTTACAAGTCTTCACTGAGTCATCGCCATTAGTATGTCTGCCTTGAGATGGACCTCCACAGTCACCTCGTTAACCACCTCGCCCCTAAGAACGATCAGTGTGGTAACCTCCTCTACCTTCAAAGTTGTCTCTATCTCTTTCAAGACCACCAGTATGACCCCCTCGTCCATAAGACTGTCAACTCTGAGTGGCAAGCGCAGAGCGATCCGCGGTAGAGGTAAGTGGCAGTGTAGGGACAACGTTCTTCAAAAAGTGATAAGTCTCGGCCAGAAAACCAATAGCGGAACTCCACATGATTTGTGGTCCAGCAGAGGAGTAAATGGAATCTAGGGTACACAACTAGGTGAGTACCATAAGTTTGTTTCATTAGTTTTGCATCTGTTTTACATCCCCAGTAATAGAAAAAATCTAACAAAGTTCCTCAGCCAGACGATTGAACTCACCATAATGATCATCCATGGGTTTACCATCATGTTTCTTACGAAACAGCTATTGAACAACTTCATATACTCGATTAATATTACTGCTACCACCATAGAGATCTTATAAGAAACACAAAGTTCCTTCATTGTCATACAATGAAGGACTAAATCCTGAATTTTAGGCTTCATAGTATTAAGAATTTGATGTAAAATGACACCATCATCTAATGTCCAAAACTCCGATGTCAAAGTAGGAGGGTCCGTCAACAAATGACCAGTTTCGCCTTGGCCTGCCACGAAGATTTCAATAACACGCTTTCACTGGAAATAGTTAATTCCATCAAGTTTTCGGTCAGTGATTCTACCAGAAAATATCTCTGAAACTTTCGTCTGGATCGTTAACTCAGAATTCTTAAGTTCCTCAGATCCGACCATCATGAAACAGATGAGTAGAGATCAAAACGATACCCTCCTCAAGTTGAACAAGTCTAAGAACCCGAAGGTTAAGAATGCAAGAACCCGAATGTTATCATACAAAAACCTGAAGGTTAAAAATGCAAAGAGTTTGAAGGTTAACATGAAATCTGAAGGTTAAAATTCAAGAACCCAAAATATTTTTTTAGAGAACAATTTGCAGATTTAAGTCGGATCCAAAAACAAAGGGGCATGGCAGCGGCGATCATCGACAACGGGCGGGAGTTGTCGAGGAAGATCGGATCGGTGAAGTGGATCTGGATCTGGAGTTTCCTCCGTAGACCACCGATTCAACGATCCGAGTCGGACGTGAAGGAGGTTTGACGTTGATGTTTCGATTATGGAAATAAGAACTGAAGTGAATATCTTAGCAAGGTAAGATAAACACTCTTCTCAAGTTCAAATCCAAGTTTGAACTCGAGGAAACACCGAGCAAGGTAAGATATCCAAGTTGTCAAGGAAGCAAGTGGCAACGAACAAAGCAAGTGGCGACGGTGGCGGACGAAGCAGGCAGCGACGGATTTGATCTTTGGTGGCTAGAGTTTCGAGAGAGGAGAGGAGGCGGCTAGGGTTTCAAGAGAGAGGAGAGGAGGCAGCTAGGGTTTAGGAATTAGGGTTAGGGTTAGAACAAGGACACGACGACATAAATATTTATATACACGTATTATATATTGAAAATAATAGTTTATGCGAGATCAATATTTTTTATTCACATGTTACAAGAATTAAAATTCCTATAACATTTTTATGTTTCTTTTATTATGTGGATTATAAATTGTAAAAACGCTCATTTTTTTAACTAGACAGACAAATGGCCATTACAATTATAGTCTGCAACCAACAAGTTTCAAGAAGTGGATGTGAAGGGTCGAATTTACGTCCATGACATGTTTGAAAAGTGTTCTAAATTAAGACATGTATTGTTTAATTGAGTACATGCCCAAATGAATGTATGCATATATGCAATGGCTGCCCAAGGAGTTTGGGTACAGATACGTGTCGGGTGAGGGTACGACTTCAAGATAGAAGTACCCATGTAACATAGCTTGCAATCCTCTCTCCTTGAAAATCAAAAACCAATCTACAGTATCTCATTTCGATCACCTCTTATGGCTGAATACCATGTGGCCTATATAATTATTTGTTCACAAAAGAAAAGTAAATGCAAACAATATCCAGATATGTGTTACCTGCCCCCATCCAATATCAAGTCCAGAGACTTCCACCAACGAGCAATTATTACCTTCCCACATCAACCTGACACGGTTCTTCGATAGGCCTGTGAGCTGGAAAGAAGATGCAAACCTGTCAGTCAGCTGCAATAACAAATAATAGAATTGAGCATGATCCATTAACTGTAATCTGAAATTTATTGAATAAATGTGGAGCACATGAACAAACTTCTTCTTGAGTTTCACATCCAAAAAACTAGCAGCTCAATCATGCTTAAGGACATGTCAAAAGTTAGCATGACAAAACAGGAAGCAAAATAGTAACTAAGATAATTATAAGTAATACTAGTCAGCTGGTACATTGACTACCAGCTAGATACAAGGAATTTAGTTGAAGTCTAGCGGGAAGTTCAGGCATATCTAGTTGAAGTCCATCAAGCGTATTAAGCCCTAATAAGTTAAATTGCTTAAATTTTAGAATGTTAAGCAATCAAGTCATCAGAACAATGAGATTGTTTTAATTGTGAGAAAATAATAGGTTTATGCAAAATTCACAATACACGCAGTACATCAAGAAGAACGGTCAGATAGAAAACCACTTATTTGCTAATAATTTCTGGAGACCATCCCTATGGCAATGACAATAGTTGAATAACAAAATTAGACTAAGAGAAAGGCTTCTAGAAGTTGTAGTCTCACTAAAGTAACCGTATGCATAATATATTTTATGCTACAAAGAGATGATCAGCAAAAGTTATAGAAAAAAACTAAGAAAAATATTATATGTCTAAAAATTTAAGTTTTTAAGAAGGAAAAAATGTAGTTTGGTTAAAGCTATTATAGGTCAGTTTAAACTTAACATAGCACATTGTCCAGTGTAATGGTGGCGAAGAGGAGCTCCAGGAGGTATTGAAAGTTGAACCCATTCCAAGACAAGGATCCAGCACAGGGTTCCACAAAACTTCAGTTTTGGCCTTCAATACTATCTTATCGATTTGAAGATATGGTTATCTAAAGCCTCTAAAAATAAAACATGAAAAAGAGAAACTACAACTAACTTCAAAGGAACTTTTTGCTGAGAAACTTCTCATCAAACACTATATATCAGCGCATACATGTGGATATCAAATTAATTGCAAAAACAAAAAACAAAAAGTAGGAAAGGGATTCTCACAATATCAGCAGTCGCATTCTTTATGGCTTCCAATTTTGGAAAGGATGGTCGCTTGCTCTGCAAAAAAATTCCGTAAATAGTAAACCAAACTGAGGGAACCTTAGCTTTGACGGGGTATGAATTGTGCTCGATTAGGTTAGCAGCCAACAATATCAAGTCAATTTCAAGTAAAAAATTTGCAGTGCTTACTGCATGATACAATGTAAATGGTAAACTAATAGATTTCATACCAACAATTGAAGACATTAGCTACCTGTAGGAACTTGTGTCCTTCGTTAAGTTTATAACCTTGAATCCAAAACATGTATGCCAACTGTTATTTGCAAAATATTCCGACATGTTAGGATATAAACAAATTGCTGATGCATAATAATAGGAAGGGAAATATCAACAGTTATAATCAACTTAATCAAATCATTTAACAACCTCTAGCAAAATGATTTGAAAAGATGAGGAAACTTTATGGTGAGATGTGGACCTAATTTCAACCTTCCTAGTAGACACCATCCTTGCTATTTTAACATCAGAATGATAGCCATCAATAGAATACAGTAACCATTTGGCTCTAATTCCACTGTGCTGATACAGTATGATAGAATTTTAATTTGTGGTTGCACTGCAAGCAAGTTTTGGAATTATCACAATCTACTTAATGATGAATGTTGTTCTGAATAAACTAAATATGGATCCAGAACTGAAAAACAATTGATTATTAAGACTTGCTCTTTCTAGTTTTGGATCATTATGAAAGACTCATGAACCAGAACTAGCACAAAAACTTCATATGGAATCATAGTTCGATACCAAAAAACAGTATGGCAAGAAAAGAAAAATACCACAAGAAACGTCAAAGTAAAATAATACATTAAGGATTTATGTGATAACGGCTGTTCCCCCTTGATGGAGGTTTGTTGATGAATTACTAATTCTAGAATTGTGCTGAGTTTTCCTTTTCTACACGGTACTCTCATCTTCTGTGACCTCACTTTGGTTCAACAACATCTCTGAAGTCTGACACATATAACTCTCATTAATGATGCAGTGGCTCAACAACGAAATTTATTTCTCTAACATCTTCAAATAAGAGACCTTGCATCTAAAGATGGTGCATGTGCACTGACTTTAGAAGTTACTACAGTAGACTTGCAAAAACTTGGAGATTAGATTTTAAACAGAAATTTGGTCATTAGAAACCATTTATTAAGGAAATTCGGTATTGGTCCGAAGTGGACACAGGAAACGATAACATCTGCGCCAAAGTACCCTGCCCCATTTCCTAGCACACTTTTCTTTAATCTGTCTAAGATGGCAGACTGCTTTCAATATGAGAGGTTTAAAAATATATTAAGCAGATGTAGCTCTCATGTTTCTCGTAACACTTCCCTTTCATCTAACATTATCTGTATTGGAATTTGGAAAAGATTGATAGTATGGAAGAAAAGGGTCAGCACAATGCCATATGCCTACCAGCATTGTTGGGCCTCGAGTGGTTCAGATGTGTGCAGCCTGACAGCCACACTGTGGACAATTTTCCACGAGTCGAACTAGTGACCTCAGTCAAAATTGACAACCTCACCGTTGTTTGAAGGCCTTTCCTCTAATATGTAATCTAGAGAATTATCAACAAATTGGTTCTCTCCTATTTCTTCCCTCATATTTCCCCCATTGACCCCTTATTTCAAATGAGTAGATAGGCTAATAGTGCACCACTATATGTTTCATAGATAATCGGTTGAATTGGCAATTAATATTAACAAATTAAGAGGATCGGTACAGATGGGCAATTAATCCATTCCCATCATATATCAAAAGCGAAGGAAAAGGGTTTAACAAAGCCTATTACGCAACTTATCTAGTACTGAACATTTATATATAATTTGATATTCAAAGGCATCCTTACCGCTGTAGCAGGAGCTCTTCCAAGTCCTGCAGTGCAATGGATGTAAGTAACTCCACCATTTTGATTAACGGCCTTATGTAATTTGCTCACAACAGCTGGAAGCCTCATCCTTAAATCAAATGCATCAAAATCCCTGTAGAACAGTATGTAAGGCAAGTTAAGACAGAGGGAAAACCATAATTATCTAAGAACTGAATGTTAAATGCAGTTTCCTTGCGTTTTTTGTTCTACATCATTGATTCATTTTATAATTATGTCTGCAGCAAAAGGGTGTAAATTATAATAGTTGGCACAAGCACCCACAAAATATTGGCTATGGAGTGGAAAGATACATCATCTTCCCTTAAGCCTGTCCCAAAAATTTTGGGGTCGTATACGAAGTAAAGCTTCATGAAGAATGTGATGGAAGTTTTATAGCCCGGTTGTCAAATGAGTTTTCCTCTCTTAATAAGTATCAAGTTCCTAAAGGAGGCAAACAAGAGACAAGAGGGGCTTGCAGTAGTGGAAAGATCACCAAGTGTTTAAAAATAACAAGATAAAACAAACCACTCAATAAACTTTCTTCTTTGTCCATCATAGAACTGCCAAACGTACTAGAGAAAGATGATTAAATAGATGATAGTAGAGGCAGCTAAGGGTTTTATAAGGCTAGGCACATTTAAAACAAGTTCAGCCCAAAAACATATCAGAAGGCCTATACTGAGAGTCTGAGACCCATGAATCAGTCAGACTTGATTGGCTAGGGTCAGGTGCACCCATATCAATGCTCGGAAAAGTGCTGTCATATGTTTATCTAAGATATTCATATAGTTAAAGTTTTCACACCTTATATATAATATATTCTCACTGTTGGTCAGCTTATAAAACCACTGGTAAGTAGAGGAGCAAGACACAAAAAGACACTAAAATAGCAATACTTTCAGTTCGCGTAGTTTCTTGGGTCAAGGAAGTTGCGTCTATTTATATCTACCAGATTTATATAGGGTTCTAAGAGAATTTAAACAAACTGTCAATAATGTATTACATTAAGAAAATCAATTGGTCAGATACCAACACATTAAATTATTTGGATCAAAAATCTAATAGGTCAAAACTACTCAAGAAAACAATAACTTCCCCCATCCTCATCCTGCAGTGGATAAAATCCATGATAAACATATTAAAAGAACATTAGCTTAATAATAGTGTGACATATCAATACATGCACTTCAATATCGAGCCTTCACCTGATTTCAGCACGAATGTGCTCGATATCCTCACACTTCTTAGCATATTCTTGAATGGAACTGATATCAACCCCAAAATATCTAGCATATTAGTGAAGGAGACAAGATGATGACTGCTAATTTTAAAGCATATCCACAATGCAGATTGTGCAATTAATAATACTGTGGTTAAGCCTCCTCAGAGCTCATCTGGTTGGATCCTTCAGATTTATGACGGCAGGATGTTAATCGATGTAGCTTCAGCTTTAGTCTTTAATTAAGAGCTAGAGAATCATAAAACTTAAGAGTATCATCCTTGAGACATCAAAGGAAAAGAAAATTTAAAAAATCGAGTAATTAGAATATTAAAAGCATCTAGTGAAGGAGTAAGGATACTCAAGGTCTGAGTCTTGTTGCAAACAGAATATGGTCTTCACTCCAATTTTGCGAAGCTTGTCAACATCAGATGGAGTCTGTGATCAGATAAATCAAATCAGAGGCTACTAAAAGGCAGGGAAGACAAGATTGTTTAGTTGATAAAGAAAATGAGAAGCACCTGGAGGCAGGAGCCGACAATCAAATCTGGAAGAATAAAATTGTAGTTCATTCCAAGTTCATGCCTATATGTCAACACTGGATCACAAAATGCATGTCAGGAAATAGTTCCCAAGTCCAAACATAGGTCAAAATGTAGGCATTGCAGAATTACCGGAAACAAATGATGACAGATGACCGGGCATGTATTATAATTGCATTTACCTGCACCCATTGCTTCTGTCATATCATTGCTATATATTTCAGATTTTTCTTCTTGCACGTCAACACCGCTCTTTTCAGTACTTGAAGCAGAACTTGAAGCCTGAAAAATATAGTAGTAGGGAGTAAGGAAAAACAGCACCAAGATAATTTGTTGAATGCTCATCTCCAGATGAAAATTGTAAAGCTTCAATTCAACACTTCACTGAGTTCCTAAGGGGGGGTTAGTCATCTAGAACTTAAAACTGGAACTTAGATAATTTGTGGGATAAATTTTTAAGGTGTTAGTCACATAGAACTAGGAAATGGGATATTTTTTTATAGTGTTAGTCAAGTAGAACTTTTGTAGAACTAGAACTGTATTATTTTTTTGGTGTGTTAGTCAAGTAGAATTCTACTAGAATTAGAATTGGGATAATTGGTCATAATTATCCCACAAATTATACTACCTATATATATAACCATAAGTTCTCCTCTCTCAAATTATCCCACACATTGGAAAGAATACAATTGAGAAAAAAAATAAAACGTCGCCTCCCTCTCTCTTGGTTAGTTTCTCCACCTAGAAAATTTCTCTGCCATGAAGTCAATCATCTGTTCATTTTTCTGTCTTTACTTTGTTTTTGTGATGATTAGATCTTTTATTATTATCTTCAAGATATATTACTTTATTGATAGCTTTTTGACGTTAAATTACTTTATTATTATTTGTTTGATCTAAGTTTTCTCTCCACAACAGTGGTTTAGGTTAAGAATATAGTGTTGGTGGGTTAGTGCTAAAGATATGCGGGCTATTTATGTTTTTTTTTAAGTTAGAAAGCAACTTTGCGATCACATTGATGGTTAGATGTTGAATGGTTAATGGTGATATCTATTATTATTAAATCGGCTCAGTAAATTGATTGGGATATTTATAGTTCATCTGTCGATCATCTGTTTAGCGGCCATGGATGATTCTTGTGTACATTTTATTTATTTGCTGATTTGGTTTCAGCGATCATGATGAGATTAGTCCAAAGGGTTAATGGCTGAAAAATGCTAAATGCTTATTTTTCTTTCTTTATGATGTTACGAGATTTGAACTTTGACATTTATGATCCTCCACTAGAAGCTCCACGAAATGTTGCTGATGCAAACGATGACTCTGATAAAGAAGACAAGTTACAGACTCAACGAGCAGCTGTAGGAGCTTGGAGAAATTCTATGGCAGATGACATGTGGGATGATAGAAGCCATGTGGGATGATGGAAGTCGAGTCACTCTAGGGATTTAGATTTTTATTTATTTGTAAATTATTTTATTATTTGAGATGAATAGTGATGTTTTATTGCATTATATTTTATAGTTATTACTAGAATTTGCTTATCAATATTATATTATTTTTAATATACAATTATTAACAATAGTAATTTATACCCACCATTACCCCCACCAAATTATCCTACTAAATTATGCAACTTCATAATATTATCCATCATTATCCCACCAAATTATCCTATCAAATTATCCCACTTTAAGAATTACCCATCATTGTTCCGCTAAATTATCCCAGTGTTAAAAAATTATCTCATTTTACCAATTATCTCAATTCTACTTAAAAAGTTCTAGGTGACTAACTGGGTTTTTCTTATTCCCACTTCTGGCTCTTTTCTGTTTTCTTTGGTACAGTTTCTCAAATGCTATACTAGATTCAACAGTTATCATTGTGCATCAGTTCAGATTTAGAAAGATGCATCAGTTCAGATTTAGAAAGATCCTCAAAACTGCTAACAGATTTAGCCTGGAGCAAGAATACAGGTCTAAAGAGTAAAGTAAGAGTTCTTCTTGACGCCAAAGAATAAAATACTATCTGTGATGTAGATCATCTGCTCTTTGGCACAATCCTGTACAGGAGATACTGTTCCTTATAGTTCCGTTCCGGACTCCTCAACAATCTAGGCGAATTGGAGGGCTGGTCCTTGGTTGCATGAATTTAAATAGCATGAGAAAAAAAAGGTGAGGCCAACCTGTCGGTCAATTGGTCATTAGGATTCTATTAGGGCCCTCAAACTCATAAGTTGCTTTGGCCAAAGTTTAGAACCACTAATAGTGAACTAAAAGACAGCTGTAAAACTTGACCAAATTTTTGTAACCGTGACGCAAACACAAACACAAACAGTTAATCTTACTTGAGTTCAAAATCGGAGCTGAATTATGAAAAGGGAAAATTGAATCCCAATCATACCTGGAAGAATAGTCATAACTGTACAAAAGAGTTATACTACTATTGTACTATTACACACAAAAAAGCGTGACCTTTTCTTGTAAATTGCAAAGAGAAATAATGAGCTGATATGGGCCCCACTTCTTTCTATCTAGTGGTACAAGAGTAGTACAAATCTTGTATTACACTTAGGGGCTGTTTGTTTCACCAATTTTATAGAAAATGATTGATATTTGGTTCTGACGGTGGCAATTTCGTAATAAACGGATTCCAAATGAATCCTAATCTGGGGTTTGTTTCAGATTTTTTTTACAGATTTCAAAATCTGTAAAGTACCCTAAATAGGGTTTTTTCTGAGATTCCCACATCCTCTTCTCCCGATCGGATTTGGGTGAGATTTCTGACATCCCCATCGCCTTCACCTCTTTGGGGTTTTCCGATTCCTTCGTCTTCGAAAACCCTCTGGCCGTGTGTGGAATCGGTGTTCTTCTCCTGCCTCATCTCACTCCTCTTCGCGCCTCTTCTCCTGCAGGCCTTCGATTTTGTCGAACTCGTAGCTGGTGGACTCCCTTCTCGAACTAGCCGTCGTCAATGCAGTTCGTGCTTGGTGGGATTCTAGCGGTTTGTTTGTGATCCCTTCCTGAATTTCTGGTTTTCGATCGGGTTTTTGTTGATCCTTTCTCGAATTAGCCATCGTCGACGCTCCTTGGCTTTGTGGGTTTCGGTCGATTTGTTGGTGATCCCTTCTCGATCACCTGGTTTTCAGTCCTGTTTGTTGGCCTCGTGGTGTCCGTCGGTGGGTTTGTTGCTTGGATTTCATTGGGCTTGTTTCTTGGATCTCAGTAATTTATAGCCTCGAAGTTCTTGGAACTAGTCGTTGCTATAGTGTTTCGTGTTTGAATATTGAGTCAAATGTTGGAAATAGCCGTTGCTACAGTATATTTGATTTGAATATTGAACTAGTCATTGCTACAGTGTTGATCCCAGAAAAAAGGCATTTCGGAACCAAACAAGATATTAGGAATTGGAGGGTTTCTATAAAAGTGGGATTCTATTTTTCCATGGGGTGAAACAAAAATAGAATGCCAATAAATGGGATTCCATAAAACTACAAAAACTTATCTATAAATTTTATGGAATAGGTAGGAATCCATAATAATAATAATAATCGGATTCCTAATCCTAGTCTTGTTTATTGGTGAAACAAACAGCCCCTTAGCATTTTCCTACAAGGAAAAGGTTTACTTACAATGATGGTTAGTAGTCTCTTCAGAAAGTCTTTCACTCCAGAGTCTTCAGGTGTTCACATAGTGCGTAAAGCATATAAAAAAGATTACATATAAGATCCATCATTAATCAATGATGAGGAAGCTTGCTTTTGGTGCGCAATACCAATGATTTATTGCTCCTCACATGGTTCACTTTGACTGCCACTATCTCTCAACCACTAAGGACTATAATTCTTGACCTGCAACTCATTTTTCCTTCTAATTGCGCATATCTTAGCCCCTGCTTCTTGCCAACTCAATCCAATTTAATATATGTTACCAACTCATCACGAGTTCCTCAAAAAAAAATCATCCGAACTTTATCATCACAGAAACTGCTAGATGATTCACTAACTGAACACCCAAAATTTATCACAAATTTTAAGTTCATTAGCACCTTTGAAAAAAAATAGAAGTATAAATAACAAACTGCAAAAAAAAATGCGCATGAAATTGCTTCTACATAAAAAGAAATCAAATTTTAGGTCTAGTCCGAATTTTCCAAACTCACGTTCGTCCTGATATTTC